AGTATTCGTAGATATATATATTGTATTTATTGATCTACGAATACTAGTAAATTTAAAGAATTTGTTTGGTTTTTGACGTATGATAAATGCTAAAATTTATACAAGAGAAGAATTTAGCGGCTAATTAATAGAAAGATTTTATGACGCAATTTTCTACCCGTTAGCACCATTTATTCTCTCGTTTTCCGCGTAACATAATTGAAAACTCCAAAAAAAACAATAACCAACTTCACGTGGATATCCCATAATAGTTTCAAATTCAAATATGTGTGAAAAAACAAATATTACAATTAAAGGTTACACGTAAATATTCATCCATGTTTAGTAAAAAATCTTCAATTTGAATTTGACTTTTAAAAATATTTCATTTTTAATACTCCAATAATAAAATTTTCCATTGCCAAATTGAATATAATTAAGAGTAAAGACATAAATATACCATCAAAGTTGTCCCGTATTTTCATAAAGACACCTTAACTTTCAAAGTGTCCTATCACCCCACAAAACTATTTAATATCTTTGTAAATGGGCCACTTTGACCCATTCCCTCGTCTATTTAGTGGCGCATGTTGCTCACTCCCTATGATGAGAAAAGACCCGACCCGACCCGACCCGACCCGACCCGACCATGTTCTTTGAAGAAAGTCGTTTCTCCTTTTCTTTTCTTATTTCTCAACTTTCCCTAAAATCTAAAGAAATAGAAAAGTTTTCTCGTCGTGTTGTTGTTGATAATCTTGTTGTTTATGTGTCTTGGAGAAGATTCTTGGAGATTGAAGGTCTAACATGTTAGGACTCTACATCATATGATAAAAATCTTCTCTTTTTTCGATTATTATGATTTTAGGGATTATTAAAATCTTCTTGTAAAAGTGTTGGAATCGACCTCCTATTGTTGCCATTGTTAAGATATTGTTAGGATATTATAGTTTTTCGTTGTTACAGGTTGATCTTGCTATGGAAAAAACCATGAAATCAAAAAATTAGGGCTATTTTGGGTTTAAAATTGGGGAAGATGACATAAATTGATTATATAATTAATAATAAAGAAAGAAAATGACACGTGGCACTTTTAAATTGGTCCATGGTAGTGAAAACACGGAATGACGCGCCTCATGTGCGTGGTAACAACCCAGACGGGGGAATGGGTCAAAATGGTCCATTTACAATGATATTAAATAGTTCTGTGGGGTGATAGGACACTTTGAAAGTTAAGGTGTCTTTATGCAAATACGGGACAACTTTGATTGTGTCTTTATGTCTTTTCTCTATAATTAATTAATCAGACCCTAAATTAAGTATCAAATAGAAATAAATAATTCATGAGCCATCTTCTTCTTTGAACTATACAAAGTTGAAATATTTATATGAGTGAGTAGTATAGTATTTCGGATCGGGCTCCTCTCCATTTTTCTTTCCTCCATTTTTCCCAAGTTTTTGCTTGAATGTGAGACACATGGGCCATGGCATAGGTAAAAATTAACGGTTAAGATTTAATTGAATTAAAATAAGATACTAATTATAATTTAGATAATTAATATTTCATAAGAAAAATGACAATAACACAATCATAACAATATATTATCTTGCCCATAAATATATTATTAAAAAAATTCCCTTTTTCTAATCTTTTTCTTTCTAGCATTATCTTCTCTCTTTTTTTCCATAAATATATTATAAAATAATTTCTCTTTTTCTAATTTTTTTTTCTGTGAGATTATTTTTGCTATTAATTATATGTAAACTAGTTTTAAAGAAAAAAAATTCAAATTTGCTATCTAACACTTAGGGGTGTTCATGGTTTGGATAAAAACCGATCCAAACCGAAAAACCAAACCAAACCGATTAAATGAACCGATTTAATTTGGGTTTTGTTTTGATTATGGTTTTGTTCGAAGAAATAACCGAACCGAACCAACAAGTTATATACATAAATTTTATTATTATACATACATAATATATTATATTCATAAACAGTATTAAAGATTTTATATATGTTTCATCAAAATTTATTTATAATTTACTTATGAAAGAAAAAATGTCCAAGGTGAGAACATTTTTCTTATTGGTTTCATGTATATGAGTGTCTATGAAATTCATTGTGGGACTGAAAATGTCATTGTCTCTAACTTCTACGCCAAAATAGTGAATTTTGAAGTTTTATTCAGTAAATTCAATGATCCAAAGTTCTGCAATGCCAACCATTCTAACTATTTTTTTGTTTGAATGGATTGTTGTCACTTTTTTCACGTTTTGAATGAATTGTTTCTTTTATTTTTATGTATGGTTAATAACTGAATAACCGAACCAAACCAAAGCAAAACCGAAAATAACCAAACCGATAAATGTATATTATATTTGGTTTGGTTTGATTTTGATAATTTTAAAACCGATTAAGTTGGTTTGATTTTGGTTTTCAATAACCGATCCAAACCAACCCGTGAACACCCCTATTAACACTTGCTCAATTTTTTTTAAAAAAACAAACGGAAGATAAATACTCTTAGGAAAAAAAATAGAAAAGAGAAAAGTTTTTATAATATATTTATGGACAAGATATTATATTGTTATGACTTATGATTATGTTATTATTATTTTTCTTATGAAATATTATTTATCTAAATCATAATTAAAATCTTATTTTAATCAATTAAATCTTAGTCATTAATTTTTATCTATATCATGGAGTCCGGAGTCAAAAGGGCAAAAAAAATTGTCAAAAATTTCAAAAGGGCACATCAAATTTTTTTTAAACCAAAAGGGCAAAATCACTCCTGATGAAGCGATTTCCCTCTGACACAATGACCAAAAATCGCTGCCCTGTAAAATAATTTTTTTTTAATTAAAAATCGATGCCACAACAGCGAGTGGCGGCGATTTTAAGTCAGAATTTTTTTTTTCTTACACATCGTTGCAGGTGCAGCGTTTTTCATGCCTAGTGCTATTATTTTCATGCCTATTGTTAATTACTATAATATTAAAATGATAAACAAGACGGACAATATACTCAATAAAATTGTTGAAGCATGAGGAAAATTGAATTATATATCATAAATAATAATAAAAGAATATTAAATTTAAGAAAAAAAAAATTAAAAAGAATTCTTAACCAAAATCAACAAAAAAAGATTTTTTTTTTTTGAGAAAATCGCTGCTATATTTTGAAGAAAAAAAGATTTTTTTGTTTGAGAAAATCGCTGCTATATTTTGAAGAAAAAAAGATTTTTTTGTTTGAGAAAATCGCTGCCTTGGCAGCGATTTTTTTTTTTAACATACGACAACTTTTGTCAGCGATTTTGGTTAAGAATTTAATTTGTTTTTAATGTAATATTCTTTTATTATTATTTATGATATATAATTTAATTTTCCTCATGCTTCAACAAATTTATTGAGTATATTGTCCGTCTTGTTTATCATTTTTATATTATTAATAATTAACAATAGGCATGAAAATAATAGCACTATGCATGAAAAACGCTCCCCTGCAGCGATGTGTAAGGAAAAAAATTTTTTGACTTAAAATCGCTGCCATTTTAATAAATAAAAAACAAAATGCAGCGATTTTTAATTAAAAAAATATTATTATTTTTTTACAAAATCGCTGCCCTAGAAGCGATTTTTGGTCATTGTGTAAGAGGAAAATCGCTTCGTCAGGAGCGATTTTGCCCTTTTAATTTTAAAAAAATTTGATGTGTCCTTTTGAAATTTTTGACAATTTTTTTTGCTTTTTTTGCTCCGGACTCCTATATCATGTGTCTCACATCTAAGCAAGAACTTGGAAAAAAAGAAAATGGAGAGAAGCCGGATCCTAGTATTTCATATATACTCATTTGACCATAACTTATTTCATGTAAAGTTTAATTAAAGTAGAATAATGCAATTAAAATTCTAATTAGTTTACTATTTGTTGCATGGATTACGGAGAAAAAAGTCATGTTCAAAGTTTCTAAAGCAACATAGGGACCTGTCTTTTAGACATTCCGTCAAAATTATGAGTGCCTTGAATGGCTCCCTCACTTCTCTGTCCCCACCACTAATTTTCGATAAACGGGTGCGATCTAATTCATCTGAATTCAATACTTTCGATAGCAAAATATAAATGTATAGGTAAGGTTTTCCTATTTTAATTATACTTTTATACTCTTAAATCAATTGTCATATTTTACTTCTCAAAAGTAATAATATATGAATTTTGATAAATATTTTAAAATTAAATTGATATGAGAAAATTTTGCTCTAATTTTTTAATTTAAATTATAAAATATTGAATTAATTTAATTTAATTTAGCTTCAAAACTTAATTGAAGTACCTCTCAAAAAGAATAATATGATAACTAATTTAGGAGTAAGAAAATAATAGTTAATAGATCTGGGACTTATAGCTTTTACATAACTAATTTAGGACTAAGAAAATAATAATAGTAGTTAATAGATCTGGGACTTATAGCTTTTACTAATATATAGTAATAGAATTTATATTAAATATTTAATTCATTGATTTAAATATTAAATCTACTTTATTTTCAAAAAAAAAAGAAGCAAAATTCAATTGAGCAGTAGCTATTATTGGTGGATAATCTACTATATAGTGGTATTCAATTAGACAAAAAATCTAGAGGGGGAAATTTAGTTACATATCAAAGATACTTTAGAACTTGTAATTCTTAATATATCATAACATTAATATATTTATACTATATATAAGAAAAAATCCTTAAGATGAAATTAAATTTTCAAACTAGAAAATTCCAATTTATTAAAAATGTCATTGATTTAAAAACAAAACCGACAGTAATTGTGGTGCACTAGTGGGAGTATGTCACCCTTAACTAGAGGTCGTGGGTTCGAGTGCTGGTATGGAGAAAATCATGTTGGGAGTGCCACTCCTCGAATGGGCCCTATAATGCGCGGTTCGAATTTAATCGGAGTTTCAATGTAGGCTTCGGACACCGGGTGAAAAACCCCCCAAAAAAAAAATATATATATATATATATAACATAGGGATATGTGAAGAACAGTAGTACTAAATCCTGTAATTCTTAAACCCTTTCATATAATACCCTCTTACCTTATTCTTTCTTCTCCTCAGCTTCTTCTTCACTCTGCAAATATGGTGCTCAAAGTTTCAGTTTTGCTTCTTTTCTCATTTCTCTTCACTGCCTCTGCTGTTCGCCCAGCTCCTCCTCTTGAAGGTAATACTAATCTTACACATTCTGCTTTTAGTATACTCATTTCCATTACTTGTTTTTGTATAAAAATGCAATCTTGAAATGACTTGTTTTAGTATAAAAATGCAATCTTGTTTTAGTATATATTTCCAGATTTTACTCTATTGTGTTCAAGAATGCTTAGTTCTGAACTGCTTTTCAGCTCTGTTTAGTGTGTCTACAGTGTTTCGACAGGAGGGTTCATATTGTAAAGCTCTTGTTTTTAGTTTGAAGAACATTTTGCTAGGATCTGTACTTTAATTAGTCTTGTTTGCTTGATGGGGGTTTCTTTATTTTGAATGGTGTTCATGGGGTGGGAAAAAAGGTTGAGTCTTTGCTCAAGAGAGCTTATTTTTTGTTTAAATGAAGAGTGATTTTTTGGATGTGTAGTTTGGTTGCAGTTAATGATATTAGGGAGATGTTCTGTTTTCAGGATTACTTCCAAATGGTAATTTTGAAGAGCTACCAAAGCCAAAAGACCTGAAGAAGAAAACAGTGCTTCAAGGTAAATATGCTTTGCCCAAATGGGAGATTAATGGCTTAGTGGAGTACATTTCTGGCGGGCCACAGCCCGGTGGGATGTACTTCGCAGTCGCCCACGGTGTCCACGCTGTGAGGCTTGGGAATGAGGCTTCAATTTCTCAGACAATTCCAGTCAAGAAAGGCTCTTTGTATGCACTCACATTTGGGGCATCAAGAACTTGTGCTCAAGAAGAGGTGTTGAGGGTGTCAGTGCCTCCTCAAACAGGAGACCTTCCTTTGCAGACCCTTTATAGCAGCAATGGTGGTGATACTTATGCTTGGGGTTTCTATGCCACCTCTAATGTTGTTAAAATTACCTTTCATAATCCTGGAGTTCAAGAGGATCCTGCTTGTGGTCCACTCTTGGATGCCGTTGCTATCAAAGAACTTTTTCCACCTCGCCCTACAGGAGGTACATCTCGATTACCTGGTGTTCCACTTATTATCATTATTTGTACAAAGTCACCGTTAAAGATGTGCTATTATTTAAGGGTGTATCAATCATAGGTGTATGAAGAAGTCTTGCCAAATGGATATTTTTCCTTATATATGTTTAAATTCTTATCTTGGAAAGAAATGGCTCAACAAAGCGGGGTGGACATAGGGGATTTGTGTAGCTTAACCCAACTAATTTAGTACTGAGTTGTAGTTGATTGATATATAGGTTACTATATTTTGACTTTATTGCTTGTCGAACCCTGTGAATTTTGTGAGTAGGCAGCAGCCCCAGGTGCTGGGGTATCCATGTACCTGCCATATGCAAGAAAAAAAAATAGACTCCAAAGTTGAATGAGAGGATATTATACATTTATATATGTCTAGTATATGAAGGACTTTTGTTGGATACATCATACAAGTGTGCAAATTTGTTTTCTTGATTTTGGTTTTTGGTGTCCTGCAGTGAACTTGGTTAAAAATGCTGGTTTTGAAGAAGGACCTCACCTCTTGATTAACTCTTCACATGGAGTTCTCCTCCCTCCCAAGCAGGAAGATTTGACATCCCCGCTTCCAGGATGGATCATTGAGTCACTCAAAGCAGTGAAATTCTTGGATTCAGCTCATTTCAATGTCCCGTTTGGCCAAGCTGCAGTGGAACTTCTTGCAGGGAGAGAAAGTGCTCTAGCCCAAATCATTAGGACGGTCCCTAAGAAGGTCTACGCCTTCACATTCAGTGTTGGTGATGCAAAGAACGGTTGTCATGGCGATATGATGGTCGAAGCATTTGCTGCTAAAGAAACGTTCAAAGTTCCCTTCAAATCACAAGGCAAAGGCAGCTTCAAAACTGTTAGTTTCAAGTTCACAGCTATTGCAGACAGGACCAGAATTACTTTCTACAGCTCTTTTTACCACACAAAAATCAATGACTACGGCGCTCTTTGTGGCCCTGTTGTTGATGAAGTTAAGGTGACCCCTGTTGCTTAGGCTCTCTAGAGTACTCCACAAAAGAAAGCGTTTGTCATAGAGTTTTTGCAATGGTCTTATCATACTCCCCACTTATCAATAGGACCCATTTTGAGGCAATTCCTGTATTTTACCTATGTAATTGCTTAATGCTGCTGTAAGAGTTGTGTACTATTTGTTTACAAAGTAAGTGTGAAACTAGTAGAGCTTCCTCTCCATTACTATGTGCACTTTGATCCTCATTCCTAAATTGATTAAGTAGTAGTGACATACAAAGTTGCATTACATTTCAAAGATTTTATGTTATCTGAAGGATGAAATATAGTAGTAATTAGATTACAAATCTCATTTCATTGGTTTACTTTATTAGCTTTCGATTGTTCTTGATTAGCCACTTCCCAATCTTGTCATTAAAAAAGGTCTATCTTAGAGTTTTTGTGGATTTCGAAACTCCAACATGTGACTTTTTCGATAACAAAAGCTTAAATCCCAACAGTAATTCCTTATGTAATGGAAGTATGCCATATAAATCCCAACAGTGTCTCTGGCTTTATAGCCTTCCTTCAGAAGAAGGAACTGTCTTTTCTTGAAGCTTAATAAGCTTGTAAATGTACTGTTTTGTCCTCTTCAGTGGCTGTAATAAAAAAGCCAGAAACAGCTAATTCCAAGTGGAAAAGTGAAATCACTTTGCCAGACAAACTTTAGTTCATCTGCATTCTTGATGTGCTTGGTGCTAAAAAGATCAAAGATCATGCAATTAAAAACAATACACAATAAGCCAAGTAATGAATATAACAGAGGATACTTCTGCTTCTTGAAATTTTATTAGTCCAAGATTCAGACAGTTTCTTTGACATACAGCTTTAAAAATTCAAAACCCTTGAGTATGTAAATAGTTAGTCCAATATACTATGGTATGTAAGCTTTTCCTCAGAAGAAGCAAAAATGTCTCGTCTTCTGTTAAGAACAATCTTCTTGTAGTGAGAATGTTTCTCTGATACAGTAGTTTCTGGGATCAATGGAACAAAGTTTTCATTTGCTGTCATCCAAAATGCCCACAAGACATTTCTCCATTAGAACTTCAGCATTAACCCAAGCATGGTATTTGTCTGAAAAAGCGTTAAGGAATTGCAGAACTTGATGAAAACAAAGGAAAATTCAAATTCTCATGCCTAGTATAATCCCACAAGTGAGGTTGAGAAGGGTAGGATGTACGCAGACCTTACTGACCTTTGTAGAGTAGAGAGGTTGTTTCAAATAGATCTTACGCTCAAAAGAGAAAAAGCCAACACATGATTGTGAGAAAAATAAGACAGCAAAAAGAGTAAGATACAAAACAACTGCAACAACAAATAGCAATACAAATTGATAAGTAAGAAACTACGCAATAACTAAATAATACCTACTAAAAAGAAGAAGAGGAGCGGAGAGGAGGAGGCTAGCCACCTGCCTTGCCTCTCCCACACAAAGAAAAATCAAATTCTAAACAAGGAATACTAATTTTGCAGATTCTTAACATTAGGAAGTTCTTTGCTCTGGCATTCATCAGACACCATATAAGCAAATATATCCTTATTGCCTATGATCTTGGCTTGGAAATTTACGGCAAATATCACCCTATGACCATTGTTAAATCATTTTTTTCCGAGCATCTCGACTAATCCACCAGGCAGTCTATCCAACCCACAAGGCATAGGTCACCAAGTTACTCATGCTGATTAAAGTTGGAGCACATGGGCTCGCACCAAGTGTTGTAATTATGATTCAGAAGCGGAATCTCCAGGTTGTTATTCCCATGCTTCAACCACTAGACCATCGACCATTCTCTTGGTGACATGGACCATTATTAACATAGGTTTCATAATTTCTATATGTTCACTCTCACTCTCACTCTCTTTCAAATTCCTCTCTCTCTCTCTCTATCTCTTGGCAGGGAGGAGAGGGTCAGGGCAGTGTGAGGAAGGTCAGGGTAACCTTAGCAAACTATGATATGGCAGGATCTGTGTGGAGGGGAATAACATCTAAATGGTACTTATAAAGCCTGATGTCAGTATTACTAATCATGGCATTCATATTTCCTATATGTTCTCTCTATCTCTATCTCTCTCTCTCGGCAGGAAGGAGGGGGTCAGGGCAGTGTGAGGAGAGTCAAGATAAATTTAGCAAACTGTGGTAGGGGAGGATTTGTGTAGAAGGGAACAACATATAAATGGTACTCATGAAGCCTGATGCCAATATTGCTGGAAGAGGAGCTCCATCAGCAATAGCAGAAGAGGATCCACTTTTCGTATACTGTGTATAACCAATCCGAGAACTAGTAATTGTGAACAGATTCGATATGAGTATCCTATTAAATTCTAGTTGAATGTAGTACCATTATATGAGTCTTATCAACTACAAAAAACAACAAGAGCTAGCAGAGGATACTAAACAATGCCGTGCAATCTTTTCCTACGGCCTTCATCAGCATGTCTACACCTAAAAAGAAAGGTGTAAGCTAGTCAAATAAATACCATTCATAACTAAATACCAACTAAAAATTTCCCTTGGTTATAGCTAAAATAATCTATTGAATGCATGCAAGTTGGATAGCTAAAACACAGAAATTCTGATGCATGAGAATAAAATAACAGCACAGAGAATTGACAATTATCTTCGAGTGCAAACAAATTACAAGAGGTGGAACATGGGAAAGGAATAAGGAACTTCTTATGTATGCTTCTGTCAAAGCATCATTTAAAATTTGAAAGTGAATATGTCACATCAGTTGATTTCACAGTTGTAAAACTTCAGCAACAGCTACTTTAAAATCAGAATTTTTTCCGTTTTACAAATTCCATGACAGAAAAAATAGGTCAAAATATTAAAGGAAATCAAAACCTCTGTCATGTCAAATATAATAGAAATATTGACTTTGAAAGAATTTCAAGTTCTGAACCATTCTGGAATCTTTACCAGCAGTTTGGTATATCATCAAATCCATAAACATGCCTTTTTTGTTGCTACACATAATGGAAGTTGAACTGCAAGGAATCATGAAGATGCCAGTTACTAAGAAGCCTAATTTCCAGGCTTTAGAAGGAATGCTTTTTAAGATCAAAAGTGCACAATCTGCCCCCAGCCCCTGATAATTCCCAAAGAAAAAAGAAATGAAAAAAAAAATGCTTCAACAGACAATGACTTCCGAAATGAGGACACATGGAAATCAGGAAATAGTAAGGTCAGAAAGATTATCCAAGTGGTTCTCTGACAATGTTTACAGAAGGGAATTCCTAAGCCAAAGGATGAGGAAGGTGGAAGAGAATGTATACTTTTTCAGATGAGGTAAATATGCAGGTTTCCTAGGTCTGCCTTCAACACAACATACATCTAATGTGGTGATTCTATAATTTACCGCTTACTGTAAGCAACATTTAGCATACAAATTAGATCCATAAACCTCATGCCACCCTCCACCATCCCATCATTTCCATATCCTCTTCATAGAATCAGGAATGAGAAGAAGTCACCTTCACAGTCAAGTCTCGCATGATGATATACATGTAACAGAGATCATATCTTCAAAAACGTGAGATATAGTAGTCACATCAGATTATCTTCAAGTCAAATCAAGATGATTAAATCAAAGGGACGACGAAGATAAGACTTGGCCTTTGCATTCATGAAGGAATATGCGTGAAAGATATCGCAGTCATGTACATCTCTTATACTGACAGTAGTTGTACTTGCTACATGAAGGCTTGCATTTTGGGTTTCTCTTATTGATGCATTTCTTTAAGTATAGTACAACTTCATATCATTTACAATGAAGCAAAAAAAAAAGGCATGCAAACTCACACTCATAACTGTATGTTACTAAGTTGACAAGCTGGCCAACTCACACTCTTAACTGCAGCATCGAGTATATTTGTGGAGAAAAAAACTATTAGGATTGGAATGCATCTTTCACATCATCTGGTACAACAATGTATAGTAGAAAGCCATGCAGAAGAAAGGGACAAGAAATGATTTCCATAACTGATTAATGAGATAGAGCAAAGCAAGCATTGATCCATACCTCCTGGGTGAAACTTCATGTATGGTGTTATATTGTAGACATGCCCTTTAAGAACAGTCCACATTGCTTCTGCATTTTGGTGTTCCTTAACCTCATCTATTGATATAAGTCTCCTGTTGGACTGTCCTTTCAATCCTGAACAATAGATACATGACGACTGGAATAAGAAGCACTAGAAAGAGAAGCTTCATAGGAGGAAGCCAATCGTGTGACCGACAATTATGCACTTAAAATATGTCAGGATTTAGGTCATAAAGAAGTTCTCTCAACTCATATTATGTAGGATAGAAAATTGAATTGATGGAATACAATAAGCATTGCATTCTCTGTTTATTGTTACTCCACTTCTCTTATAGGAGAGAACTTTTTAGCCATATAGTAGACCAGCCATAGTTATGAGTGCTATAAACTTTTAATCTTGGTTCAGAAGATTCATTCCAAGGACATACAAAATGAAAATTACAGCAGAGCAAGCTGCAATATACCGAGCTTTACAATTCCATGCTGTGGAGTAATAGCCACTTCCCATTCCCCACTAAAGCATGTTTTAGATTTGAGGCTTCGACACTTGAATGGCACAGGCTCAACTTTTTTGTTTTGATAAGTAATCAAAGATTTTATAAACGCTTGCATTAAGCCAGTACAAGAAAACATAACTCCAGATTGTGCAGATCCCCTATTGTATCTAAAATTGCATCAACATCCTGTACAATAACCAGGATGCACCAAAAAGCTAGCAAAATAAGACCTCTTTGTTTAAGGCTATGTATAATGGCAGGCTCAACTTCACTTGTAATTAGACAGTAACATGTAGTATTATTTTTTTAATAAAACAGTGTCGTGTATTAACACAATATCATCTACAAACAACAAGCATCATGCATTGTGGAACATCATTCCACACACTAAAGGACAGGAACGTGTCCAGAGCTTGTACACGAAATAAAATTTTCATATCACGTGACTTTTTAGAGGACCCTTAATTTACCATAAAAGACAAACTATTCAGTATTGGAATGACATGTCCCAAAAATAATGTCGCATAGGTTAAGAATATTCATATAGCTTACCCAACTAGTTTAAAGTAGAGGGATAATAGTTCAATTGATTGATTGATATCACATGATCTTCTTAAGTAGTTCTTTCATTTATCAAAAACCTCTTAAACCAAAGGTTTGGCATTTCTTAAATGGCCCGTAGGATTCCTAACCAGCCTTGGTGTCAGAGCCCAATAAAAGCTCATGAAGTTCGGTTCCAATCCTCCCTTTAAAAAGTTATACAACATTGCATGCGAAGCCTGGTAAATAGGTGTGACAAGGATGGAGTGCATCAATGAGTTTTCTGATCCATTATCGGACAGGACTTTTGGGCTTTGATACCATTCAAGCTCAGAAAGGACACAATACCCAGTACTAGACCAGAAACTCACACATCCACTTCTTACCTTGTGTTACCTAATAGATTTAATGTCAAGTCTAGTTGATGTATTAACTACTTTTATTAACAAAAGGAAGTACAAAAGTGTCTATGCATAGAAACAAAATTGAGTTGTTTTAAACTGATATAGAATAATGCGAACCAATAATACGTCTCCATTGTTCTACAAAGCATTCCACGTATGAAGTACTTATACGTCCATTGACTATAAACTGTATAAAGCTTGCAGAAATAAAGCCAACAAGCACACTTAGAAATGTATTTATTCCCAGTTTTTATTCTATCCTTTATCAATATGATTAAAAGAATGACAAATTTCATCAAAGAGTAGAAGATTTACACCAAAAGATTCTTACCTGCAAGGTCAGGATGTGTTCTTGTAAGCTTTAGCCAGTCCATCTGACTATAACCCTTCTCATAGGGGACCTTGGCTCGAGCTACAGGCTTCCTAGCAGGTTTTATTTGCTTCTGATAAGTTGGGACTGAAAATCCACCATCTTTTGATGCCACTTGACCAGAAGTTCCACTTGCTTGCTTGCCTGGAGATGTGTCTATAACAGTGAAAGACAAAGAACCAACTGTTCCCTGCTTCTTTGAGGTAGTAATGTTGCCCAATTTACCTTCCCATGGTGCACCATTACTTTGACTAGTACCATCATTATTTGAGGGCTCATCTTTTATTCTAATTTCACTAATATCTTGAGCAATCTTCTGTGCATCCACATAATCTTGATTATCAGGTGCACCAACCTAAATAGGCAAATTAACCTTTCAAGTTCAATTGATAAAAGAGAAATTTAACTAGGTAATACAACTTGATCTTCAAGCATTAACGTCTCAGATGTCCTTCATTACAAGATGTTATTATGGCACGCACCTGACAAAAAGTGAAATCATCATCATTAGCCATTACTAGCTCAGCTGAGCAATGACACGAACCAAAAAGGTCCTCTCCAAGGAATCTGGTGCAAATAAAAAAGTTAAAAGTTAGATTGATTTTGTTCCGGAAATATTCAATCACCAAATATAAGGTAGCAGCATTAACACCCAAGTAGCGTTTGAAAACTGAGGTAACATTATCGTAATTGGAGACTTGTTTTTACATGTCACAAAATAAATTGAACTACCAACAAAAACTTAACAAACTACCCAATAGAAGATAAATAATGTAAATTTAGAGATGCCAACATAAGAAAAATATTATTCACGCTGCTCAACATCACACTTGAATTTAAGAATGTATTAGTATTAAATTTGTAAGAATAAAAGAAGAGAACATATATCAGACTATCAAAATCTTTGATCAAACATATGTTTACGTCGAAACAAAGGTCAGTTCCTCTTCCTTTCCCATTTATGGCCGATTGTCTTCAAAGATAAAAGGGATTGAGAGCTTTTATTATGTCATAACTCATTCATTACAGAACACCACGTCATTCTTCTACAATTGTAAATTTGTAGTTAAAAGGCACAGTACTGACAAGTTGTTCTATGTCCTGTACAGTGATATGACTGCCCCATATAGCTGACATTAGTATTTATATTTAAAAAACAGAAAGAGGAACTCTTAGGTTAGTGTTAAACACTTGTTCCAGATATGTCGCTGGCAAGCGCAAACACAGACCACAGTTAATAACACAGACTAAAACTTGGGGTCCAAACTTCCTAGTAAATCAATGATGTGTAGTGCACATTTGGCAATTAGCAATTATATGGGGTATTGATCTCATGAGTAAGAATCACATCTAACTGAAACGGCTAAAACAACAACATACCCAGTGCAATCCCAATAAGTGAGACATGCATCCCTCTACCAGCTTAAAATTCTTGTGTGCATTGTGAAAATTGAAAACTTTGAAGCTATTTCAGTTAGTTTGGTGTTACTATCTTTCCTTTTCGGCCTATTGAGATTAAATTGGAAAGAGTACTATATCATTTCCCATGGTTCTTCATCACTGCTTTCTATAATACTATTTGTTGGAACCTGAAACAGATATAGAGTCTCCAAATAAAGTAAAAAAAAAAAAAACAAGCCTTCATCTCACTTTTCCCTTTAAAAGTTTTCCCCTTAGTTAAATTGGAAAGCTCTATTTAATGTTGATTGCTTACTTGTCTTGAGAACAGAATAGGTCGTGTCTTATCTTTGGAGTTTTCTATAGCTTTAAGTGGCATCCGGAGTTTCTTGCTTATTCATTATGTAAGCATTTTTTTAATAAACCAAGCCTTTCGGTTTGAAAGAATCTAGGTGATCCAATCAGATGATAAGATAGAAAAGAAGGTTTAATGCTTTTCTATATATTAACTTTGCCCTAGCTGGATGAAATTTCCTTGACTAAGAAAATTAAATTTTTTAAGTCACTAAAGGGAATCATCTCTACTAAGAGTGGTGATTCCTCTATTTTTTTCCCTTCACTTTAACAAGTTAGAATTTTTTCATAGCAAATGAGTATATGTGTGCCATGTGTACTAGCATATATATTACAAGAAAATACTTCCAATTATTGGTGTATCTTGTGAGATCAACTTTAAGGTAATGCCAATGTAATAATGTAGGAGCAGACAAAATTTGGTAAAATTTGTGAAGTATGACACCTCGGTCCTCTTATAAACTGCCTCGAGCACTAGGTGAAAGAGATGAAGGTCTGCATGAGGCTTTTGGCTATTTAGACGCAACCCAGTGAGTTGTTGGCTAGGGATACTATTCCTACTGGCCGTAGGGAATGGTTGTGTATACGATGTTTCTTTTACGCATCTAAGGAGGATGAGATAAATTGTGACCGTCCCCCCCTCTGTTTGGCAGTTTAGGCAACTGCATGATTTATATTTTGATTAGCAAAGACAAACACAATGGAGATAATGCTTGAAATGATGGTCCATAGATTCCTAAGTCATATGGCTGGAGTAGTATTAAAGTTCAGTTTGCTCAAGTTCTGAGTTCCTGCCAAATTTATTTTATGTACAAGGACTTTCAATCCAGAAGTTGGCACCGAGTTTTCTACTATTACTTAAAATGTTTTTCATTGGATACACACTTTGGCAGTCGATTACAGAAAGCATTAAATATGACCTTGAATTTTGATCATCTTTAGAGTGTGCAAGTAATGGGCTCCTTTGATGGTTGGAGTTACCACTACCTCGTGTAGGTACAAAGGCTATTTTTTAAAGAACCTCAACTCAAGTAAAGGAAGAAGAAAACAATGAAGAAACCATAACGAAATTAAGAAAAGCAGTGTAAAGTCTACAAGAAAGAAACAATAACTATATATGGCAAGAACTACAAAAGGTGCGACTAGTACTACGACAGGCACTAACAAGACTAAACCTTCGCAAAGCAAGACAACATTCTACCCCTACTAACCTTCTACCCTAATACACAACCCCCATTCTTTCCTATCTAGAGTCAAGTCCTCAATACTATGAAGCAGCATCACATCTTGTCTAATCACAATCTCCCCAACATATAACAAAAATTAACTAAAAACATCCAACAAAACCATGACCTTCATACCCATTTAAGAAGATGAATTGTTCAAAATTTCCAACTTGTTACTTTTGGAATTCCAGAAAAAAAAATCACAACATTGGAGTATTAGTTTGATCTCATTTAGATGATATGCATATAAGTCTCAAACTCAACCAAACACAATTAATCACTAAAAGGATCGAATTTTTCACCTATCAAGCAGTTAACTTGAAGGAAACTCTAGCATCACTGACTTAAATTAATCACATTTAGCTGATCCTCAAACTCACCCCCACCAAGAAAAAGATAAACTTTTCACATATGAATCAACCAATCAACTTCAAGAAACTCTAAATATCACATTAGCTGAAGAAACCCATCAAAATCCACACACCCAATTGCCTATAATCATTAAAAAGGCTCAACTTTTCACCAATTAATCAATTTTAAGAACCCCCAACATATATACAATCACAAAGACTAATAATAACAATTCAAATTATCAAATTCACCTGATCTTGAAGGGCTGTTTTTCCCTCCAATTCGCTGCTTGTCGGAGCCGACACAACGTTCGTTCAAAGCTGATGGGCAGTCGGACTACCTACGCTACGTTACAATCTTGAATTTCTTCTGATTCCTTGCATTCAGTGTGGTACATTGTGCATAAAGAGAAGTACCACCAACTGCCCCTTTACTTTTTAAAACTAAACTAATAAATTTGACAAATTGAAGTTTTTCTTATTTTCCTAAAATAATAAAATTGAAGAAATCGAAATAAAGAAAGAAAAGAAAAAGCAGCTAACAATGATTTTAAAGTAAGAACATATTATTTGTTCAGTCTTGAAAAAGTAAGATGATCATGTTTTCCATTTTTATGGCTTCAATAGTAATTTTAAGAAAAAAAAATTAATTTTTTTTCTTACCTCTCTTTCAATGACGAACTGAAAATGAAATTATTCCAATGAAGATATTACTTGCAAGTTTAATATTTGTTGGGTTCTGAAGGGTGATTAAGGCGTCATGCGGAAGCTTACAAATTGCAAATCATATAGTTGATAAATCAGATAACAAAAAACTTATACTAAATACATAATATTATTTATGAAAACTAATATAAAAGAAAAATATTATAAACTTTAGAGAAAATAAATCTCCTCATAAACTAAACTCTTAAACGTTTACATTGTGGATGTTATTGTTGTTGTGTTAGAAGAAACAAATATATATTATAGAGTCTTAAAACTTTTCCTACTAGAAAAGAACTAGATACTCCAAAACATTTTCTTAAAAGGAAAGACTAAACCAAATATGAAAGAATATTATATTTTCCTTTCAGGAAAAGTAAAAACATTTATGGTAATGTTTTGTCTTTTCTTTATGGAAAAATAAATCTTAAATTATGGTAAGAAAATCAGGGCAAAATCCTAACAAATCTCCCCTTTTGGTTGAATTTTCTTGGCAAAACTTGATCCGTCTTGTTCATATGTTTGATAATCTTGTTCTTCACAAAATCTTCATGTATCACTGCTGCTTACCATGATTTAAAAATTGATATGGGTTAAAAAAAATGGAGCCATGTATTAAAAGTTATAAACAGGGTTGAAAGTGGAACTCATGCGTTAAAAGTAAGATGCATGAGTTAAAAGTGGAGCCCCAGCATTAAAAATTGCAAGGGTTGAAAGTTGGAGCCCATGTTTAAAGCAAAAATGGGTTGAAAATTGATTTTGTTTTTAAGGATGAAGCAGCAGGATATTATTGAAAATATATTTGAAATTTTTTCTCCACATATAGTAGCAAAAAAAATCTTCATTATCATCAAATTTGTTGCAAATTAATTTGAAACCACTTGAACATTTCTTCAATCTTGTTGAACCATAGGACCACCGGATCTTTGAACCATGTGCTCTGATACCACTTGTTGGGTTCTGAAGGGTGATTACGGCGTCATGCGGAAGCTGTCAAATTGCAAATCATATAGTTGATAAATTAGATAACAAAAAACTTATACTAAAAATATAATATTATTATATGAAAACTAGTATAAAAGAAAAATATTATAAACTTTAGAGAGAATAAATCTCCCCATAAACTAAACTCTTAAACGTCTACATTGTGGATGTTATTGTTGTTGTGTTAGAAGAAACAAACATATATTTATAGAGTCCTAAAACTTTTTCTACTAGAAAAGAACTAGCTACTCAAAAACCTTTTCTTAAAAGGAAAGAATAAATCAAATATGAAAGAATATTATATTTTCCTTTCAAGAAAAGTAAAAACATTTATGGTAATGTTTTGTCTTTTCTTTAAGGAAAAATAAATCTTAAATTATGATAAGAAAATCAGGGCAAAACTCTAACAATATCATGAGGGATGAAATATGAAATTATCTTTCTCTTAATTTTTTAATTCTCTCTGAACATTCCTAAGAGCAAGGCCTATTTACATGTTTTTTTAATAATAAAATATAGTCAATTTAGGAGAAAAGACATAAAGTCACCACTGAAATTGT